GACAGGTCAAATGACTCTCCTCTCCCTGTGAAATGAGTGTCTGTGGCTGATGGGACTTTCACTGGAGAGGCAGGTCCAGGAAATCAGGCCCTGACTCCTTTTACTTCTCGAGTCTGAAATAACACGCACAAGCACCAGCGAGGAGAAATATTTGACTGTTGGCAACTGTGCGCTGCTCCTGCACCAAATACCCACACGGAGAAGAGCGACAGGCTTCCTCTCTGTTACGGGCCATTAGAGCGAAGCTCTGGGCGGGGATTTATAACAACACAGTTACAAATTGTGAGCATGCCTTTGCCCAAGAACTGCACCCCGTTGAGCTGCTAGCTGGTTGTTTTTATCGCTGGATTTTGCTTCGCTCCCGAGGAATCTTGCCACTGCAGATTTGGCTGCTGCACAGAGCGAGGCGTCACCAGGGACGCTGTTGCTATTCGGAAAAGCACGGGGTGTCGGAGAGGCAGAGCTTGCAAACCTATATTAAAACCCATCCGTTACCCACGCAGTGAACACCCTCCGCTCTCGGCACCAGGCCGCTGCGTGTGAACCGAGGGCTCTCCGGTGGAGGCGGCTACAGGAAGACTGGGTGCCCCGAGTACCCACTTCCAGGCTTTCTGGCCCCGCTAGGCCAGGGCTTCCTTAAAGGCCACAAGGAGGGATGGGCAGGAGGAGGACACACGAGCCTCCCAGGCTCCCACTTAGCCCTCGCTCCCTGTGTCCCGTGCATTGGATGTCCTGGCATGATTCCCTTTAACAAAGGACCCCAGACCCTGGGCTGTGAGAGCAAGAAGCCTTCCTGCAGACTGAGAGGCTGCGGGAGGAGGAGGATCCCGCATGGCTGCAGTGTCGACCTTCACATGTGGGATGGTCCCTGTCAGTGAAGGGTGGGGCAATGCCACTTGCCCCTCACATTGCGTGACCACTAGGGTGAGCATATACAGTGATGATGCAACGTTTTGAAGAGCAGGAGTCTTAGACATCAGAGCACATCCCCCCTGGCGACCCTCATGCCAGACTCCCCAGCACCAGCGTCTGTGAGGTCCTCACCTTGGCTGCCCTCTTTCTGATTCCCACCCATGCCTGTGGGGAGGAGGACGTGGTAACAGGGACCTGTTCTTGGGGAGGTGGCTGCTCATTGGGAAGCCCTGGGGTCCAAGAAGCCGGCCAGCTGGCTGTGGCTGGGGTTCAAGGTCAGCTCGGTAGTGACTATCCGGTCACCTGCAGGAGTTAGTAATCATGGGTTCCTCAGTGAGGCTGATGGCATGGCAACCTTGTACTATCAAGCTTGGCTTCTTACAAAGTTCACTAACTCCCTCCCTCCCTCTCTTCTCACTGGTATTTCTTGAGCATTCACATCATGCTAAACTCTATGCCAGGTATAGGGAATGAGTGGCTGCAAAACCAGACACAATCCTGTGTCCCTGGGCCTAACACAACCGCGAGGAGGTAGATGTGAGTCAGTGTCACACGTGGACGACCATGGAAAGAGGTGAGGACGATGGAGAGGAGAACGTGGTAGTGAGAGGAGATGCAAATGATGGAGACACGGACCTGGTCAAAAGGATGAGGAAGTGTCTCCCTGAGGAAGTGGCATTTTGCTGAGCGACTTCACTGGGCATCGGGGGCAGGGGTGGGGGTCTCGGGGGACAATAGGGGAGCATCCTGGCGGTGGCAGGAAGCTGTGGGAGGAGGGAGCGCTGCACATATCAGGGACTGTTCAGGAGCCCAGTGTCTCTGGAGCACTTATTTGTGCAGAGTTTTCTGCCCTAGTTTTTGGGTCATCACTTATGTTCATTATAGTGTCTGACCCCTGTAGAGACGATGCTTTACAGCCAGTTCAAAGGCAGCCCCGAGTCCAGGAGTGGAAGGGGGTATTCTCAGTGCAACCACTGGGTGCATTCACACACGGCCTTGGGGAGCTGTTTGAGTAACACTTTCACACGTACAAATCACAAGTGGTGAGGGAGCCCCGTTTCCCCAAGATGGCAGAGGTTCTGCACAAGCCATCATGGAGCTAACCCCTTATTCTCAGCCAGGTGGCATGTGGTTATTTTCCTAACTGCACGCCACCTCAGTCTTTGTTTTGAGAAAATAACTTGGACCCACCAGGCGGGGGGTGGGAGGGTTCACTCACTGAATTGAAAAGGAAGCACTGCTTGAGTCCCTTATGGTCCTAGCCTGATCCTTCAACACCAGCTTCGGCTTTCCCAAGTGGTAACGAAGCATCCAAAGTTGGCTGTGATCTCAGTCAGCAGCTTTTAAAGAAAGTCTGGATTTAACTGAAGGCACCAATCCTGTGTGGGGCTTTTCAAAGAGACTAGTGTCTCCTCGTCTCAGAGAGCTTGGGGTTGGGTGGATGCCTTCAGAATGAACAATTGGCCCACTGGTGGCCAGTTCTGTTGGGATGCCTTTCCTATGGGCCTTCTTTCTGAATGGGCTACCATGCAATGCATTCATTTCCCTAATATGACTATTTAGTTGGAGAAAAGTCACTCACAATGAATTGAGTACTATTGGAATCTGAATGTGGTCTTCATTGTTCAACCTCTACTTTACGTCCCTGGAAAAGGGCCACGTGGGTCAGGGGAAGTGAGGGAGACCTGGCTTCCATCTAAACCACCCCAAGTTGTCCAGGGTTGGTCAGATGTCCTGCTGACCTTGTCCCTCACCACTCTGTGCCCCTTTGAGGCTGGCACTGTTAGGAAGACCATCTTCCCAGGAAGAGGAGGCTGGCCTTTCAGCTTGGGACCTCTTACTTGAAGTACATGTTCAGATGCTGTCAGTCAAGTCCACAGAATTGCTACCCACTTAATACCCAGGCAACGGGGACTTGGATTTGGAAAAGGCACAGTCTGTTCTCTGAAGGTATCTTAAATTGTCCTATGTTATAGATGGCTAGGGCTTTTAGCTTACAGACATGATCACATTTAATTCTCAAACTATGAAGAAGACCAAGTAGGGACGATTAACCTCATTTTCAAGATAGACACACAGAGAGTTCCAGGGACTTGCTCAGTGTGGCACTATCGGGGCTAGAACCCAAGGCCTTTGTCTCTACAACAGCCAGTCTACGTCCTACCCCACCCCAGGGCGTTAGAAATGGGGAGGACTCTGTGGAGCACACCCCGTGGGCAGGGCTGCGGGAGTAGCTCATGCATATGTAGCAAGTCTGAAAGGACCAGACGGCATCTTTGCTTTCTTAGTGAGAATCCCTTGGTAAAAACTGCTGGTGGTGGTGGTAGAATCCTGTTAGCCACAGGCCTGTACTTACCTTTGGCTTCTTAGAATCTTTACGGTGGCTTGTTTGACTTCAACCTCCAGCCTGGCCACACCTTCCTCCCTTCTTCCTGGGGCTTTGATTAGGGCCATCGGCAGTGGAAGTGGAGCCCTGGGATCAGACTGGAGAGAGTGTCAGGATCACAGGTGGGGTTGGGGACTCACCAGGGGCTCCCGACTCCAATGTGAAGGCTGGAGGCTGGAGCTAGTGGGTGAATATGCCGGGTGGGCCAGGCGACGAGATGGAGAAGCTAAGTTCCTTCTAAAAGGGCACCGTGCTCAGCGCCAGCTGATGGTTGTCAGGCTTCACATCGGGCCCAGAGTTGCCAGGTCCGAGGTGTTTTTCCAAGAGAATCTAGAAATCTAGAATTTTATGTCAATTCTCCTTATTCGATTAAATGTCAACGACTCATTCAAACATTTTTAAACCTCTGTGGGTCAAAACCAAACCAAACAATTCTGTAAATCTCTTCCGCAACCTCCCCTTCGCGATGGGAAGTACAGAGTGTTTGTAGGAGAAAAGCACCAGGACGTCAGATGGCTGAGAAGCATCTTTATTACCAGCAGGGCCTGCATCTTCTCCACGTTTGTGAGAAGGACAGAAAGACAGAAGGATGACCAAACTGTTGGAGCCAGGGAGATACAGAACTTCCAGACGATCACTTTGAGGCTAGATCTGTTCAAATGCCCACCATCCTACCGTTGAACAATAGGCTTGGCCTTTCCCCATGCCCCTCACCTGGTGGATGAGGCCCTCATTTGTGCAAAACCTTCCCATGGCACCCACAGGCTGCAGGCTGGGGGGGGTTATAGTGAGACTCCTGCCATTAGCTAAGGCCACACCTTTCTCTCCTCTCCAGGGAAGCATGCTGAGATCTAAACAATTGAAGAGGCTAAACATATACGCATGGCCTTCCACTGGCCTTCCAATTAATTTTTGCAAAGTAAAGTCATCACAAGCATTGGTATTTTATCTTCTCTTAGTAAGGATTCACTTGTGACACAATTCACAAATTTTAGGCCATCATGGTTAAAGGATGTTCTAAAAAATAAAGACAAATAGGATATATTGCTAAGCTTCCCAGATAGACCAGAACTCTCTTCCTCTGGTATTCTCAGCCATGGTGTGATCAGCTGGGCAGACTCCCCTAGCTCATACAGTCACCTCTAGGGCATCAGTTACAAGGGTCTCAGGAATGTCAACAGGGACACTTGGATTTTGAAAAAAGATGAGAGCAATAAAAACCATGTTTCCAAAGCAACCAGAGAGTTTCTAACACACACACTCTCACCTCCCTAACAGGTAACCAGGAGCCCCCACCTGAACTGGCCTTTGGATGGTGTTTGTTATTCAAGTCCCGCCCAGCAGCGTAAGTCAAGACACAAGGATCCCGTGTTCTCCGTGTCCTTTCCTGCAGGAATTGACCCAGGAGATGCAGAAGTGAAACACCGGAGCTTTCCCTGTTACCTCCCAATTTAGGACAAAGGCCTGCTCCCTTCCACTGCATCTGAACATGAAAACTCATGAGGTGGGAATAGGAACCAGATCAGGAGGGAAGAGAGGGTCAGAGAGGTGGCCGCAAGCTGACATGGTGTGTCCTCTGGGGAAAGGTGTCAGATCGCAAAGGCGGACTGTGACAAAATGAGAGCAGCAACAAGTCTATTTTTTCTAGGTCGCGTAGGGAACCATCCTAACCTATTTGCAAGTGGTCTCGGGGGGAATAGCTTTAAATAGCCATCTTGTCACCATCCTTTTCCTCATCTTCCAGGATCACTTTGGGTCTCTCCTCCCGGATCAGTGTCACATCTGCAAAACAAAGCACAGGTCTGCAATTAGGTGCCTCTAATCAAAATATCACACAGCCTTCCAGCACAGACCCAGTCCACAAGGGCACGGTGACCCGGAACCTTGTCAGTGCCTGCACAGCTAACGGTGCCACTGCAGAGAGAGGGAGCAGGGTGGCCCTATTCGGCGTCCCCAGAGGAGCTGTGGCTCAATGAGGACACCACGCTGGCTACAAGGGGACGGTCCATCTGGGGGTCGGAGGCAACCGCCACCCTCTTCTCTACATTCTCTGTTTACGCTTGTGGCCCTGTACAGCGGGAAGCACACGGCTTTTGGAGTCCAGATGACTTGGGTTCTCATTCTGCCACTCAATCTGTGTTGGGCCAGTCAACACCTTCACACCTCAATGTTTTCTTATGGAAATGAGGACAGGGGTACTTATATAAAGGGTTGTTTCCACAATTAATTAAGAAGCAGGGACCAATGCTCAGCACTGTGCCGCACGTGTGAGCAGCGAGAAGCCTGCCTTTCCTCTCCTTTCACTGTTGGATGGTTTAGTTCCCTTTTTGTAAAGAACTGGGAAGCCTCACGAAGTCAATCTCACACGCATCTTACTAACATCCCGGGGAAATATTGAGCTTAGGCTGTGAACACGCCACTTGTACATGTCAGTACTAGTCCATAAGAAGTTACCACAGTTCAGAGCACAATGAGAAAATACGGAATGAGTCCTCAGTTTTTCAAACAGCGATATGGCTCCAGTGTGAAAACACTGCTCTTTGTTGCAAGGTGGTTCTTTTTCTTCTTTGGGGGATTGAAATATCTTCTTTTATGAAATTTCAGGGATGTTAAATGGTTTCTTTCTCAGCATCCTTACTAGGCAAAATGCAAGGTTGCTATCCCTCCCTCTATTGGGCTCTACAGTATTTTGTTTTAAAATTGTACTGGTCTGTGAAAGTCTGAAGCCTGAACAAAATTTTCTGCAATCAGCCCAGAAAAGGCCATCCGAGGAGGTCTGGGTGGTTGTGCTCATCCTGTGAATTGTAAAGGTAGGGTCATTTTAATGAAAACACCAAGGAAACTGTGACTCAAAGTCAGCCCTCTGTGGTGCCCCCAGCCGGATAGTTCTGTTTCCCATCACTGTCTCACATCCCCCTACCCCGCTCCTCATAATCAGAGACCTTTCAGTTCATGAAGCATTTCATAAAGATCTAAACTTCAGGGAGGAAAGCTGTGCACCACAAGAGGCCTTTCGACAACCCTGGAATCCATTCAACAGCAGCAAATTAATGAAGACTGTGTGTTGATCTTAATAGCTACTCATTTGATTCAGTCCCTAGTTTGTTCATATGGGCTCTTTACCAATTAATTTCAAAAGTGTAGCTGAAACGAAGTCTTTTGCATAAATCACCTATGAAACACGGTGGGAGAGATTTTTCTCCTGTACTAGCTGTGTAGAGGTTTGAGTTTGTATTGGGAATCAAGGCTGTATTGGGAATCAAGGCTATCTTACTGCAGAACACAGAAGTGGCTATGCTGAGCCCGAAATTTTTTCATCTCACCTTCCTTGGAGTTAATTCAAAAAGGGCAAGAGCATTAAAATTCCATGATCCCAGTCAACTTTCTGATTATTTGGGGTGTCCTTGAACCCTAGCCATATGAGCAACTGGAGATTTCAGGGAAGGGAGTCACCTGTTGAAATCAAGGTCAGCCCTTCCCAGAGTGGGCTTGGCTTTCCACAGGAACAGGGGAGATAATAGCAAGTGAAAAGTGAACCAGCATCTGTATTAATTAGTTAAGCATTAATTTTAATATCTTATAATGGAAAATATATGGTAGTTCATCAAAATCTTGATTTCATGAATATCACACCCTAGACTGAAGTTTCCATCAGTAGCGTCTGTGTCTATATATAACCACTACCTTCTTATTCTTGATGCTTACTATTGTTGGCTTTGGTGAGTTGAGAATGAAAAAGGTTTGCTAAACACTGTCTTTCTGGTTTAACCCAGTCCTGATCCTCCTGCTGTCCTGTGGGAAGCAGAGGTGTGTCACTGGAGGAATATCCTATAGTCAGAAAGCTTTGCCTTTGGTGGTCATTCAACTTTGAGCAGGTTGCTTAACCTATCTGGGCCTCAGTTTATCATCTGTAAAACCAGCCATAAAAGAATTTGTATTTCCTACACGGAGTGATGCCACCATCAGATAGATTTAGGCCAATATTCTCTTAGGTGCCAACCACACCTTACTGAAGTTCTGTTACATTGTAGGAATCACTGGACAATACATCTGTCTCCCCCACTGAATGGCATTTTAATGTCCAGCACAGGATTTGGAAAACAGTAAGGATTTAGAAAATGTCATTTGCCTGTTAGAGCTTGCTGTGTTTTTTTAAGGCCAGAGCCATCAGTCCAAGGTCTCTACGGGTCAATCAGCTTTGCAACAAGCTTCCTTAGGCCACGATCCCACCCAGAACACCATCTAAAGCTCCTCACTTGCATTACAAGTGTGTACCTCTTACTTACGGGAGCCAGGGCTCAGACACTGCCTCTCCTGGTGAACCACACCAGAGAGAATGCTCTATTCCCAGAAGAACAGAGAGGGGTAACTTTGAAAGGACATATCAGTCTTCTTTCTACTAGTATTGAGTTATGATATCCAAAAGCTCATGACCCAATTTTCCAGAAGGCGTCTTTTCAATGATTGTAGCCTCATTACTCTCTACTTTCTCTGGTCTCTTTTCCCAAAGATTTCAACTAAAGACTTCATTTTCCTTAAGTAGACCTCAGTTACTGAAGTTTGACCAATCACAATCCAATGCTCCCTGCCATACAGTCACCAAAATGGGGAAGGGGGGTGGGGAGTGGTGGTACTGTGGGCCAAGTTGGGAGCAAACCTTGGGCTGGCAATGAAGCCCAAGATGACTCCTCACTGAGGAGTTGTCTGGTAATTGGAACCCATCAAATCAGCTCATTAACTTAGAGGAATGAAGGTAGTTAGCAGGATATTTAGAACAGAGCAAATCCTTGTCCAGTCTACACATGCCAAGGACTAATGAGAGGAGGTATCTCTGGAGTGCGTTTTCTCTGAGTTCCTCTCAACACCCTATCAGCACCAATGTGAGTCTCTCTGAACATCTGCTGAGGGCTCTATCCTTATCAGCTTAACTGGCATTTTGATGATTGCCAAATCTTTAGATACTAAAAGGCTCTTCCAAAATAAAGCGCTTCAGTAATACAAAATAAAAGCTAGAATCATAGAACACTATGATTGCAAATACAACACAGATATTTGTTGATTTAAGCAATATCCAGAGTCTATGGATATGCATCCCCCCGTCCAGCTATGTGAACTTTGCACTATTGGATAAACATTTTTTACTCAATCAGAAGCTGCTTTCTTATGATGTAGGTATTAGGATGTGGGCCACTTCCATGGCCAGATAAACAGAGCTCAACATTTTAGGAATTCCCTTGAATTATCAGATTGATATGGAGAGGTAAGTAAAATATGGTGGCTAGGAAAATTCTCACCTCTAGAAATGGTTTGGCTTATCTCAAAAATATAAGGTTGAACAGAGAATGAAGGGGAATAAACAGGTAATGAGGTCTTTCAATAAATCAGAAACTGTGCTAAATATATTATATATACTCTATTTAACCGTGTTAACAATCTAGGGGACAGGTTTTATGGCCCTTTCATAGATGGATGAAGGCTCTCATGGTTTGTGTTGCCCAGGGTCCCAAAATCAGAATGGAGCTGAACAGGACATCAAGCCTAGACCTTCTGACTCCAAAGCCCATGTCCAATGCTTTATACTAAGGTGACTCTTCTACCAAGTCTTCCTCTAGAAGAACCTCACTAAAAATACAATCTCTTAATGGAGAATTTGGAACTGCAGAATTGTGATTTCCAAAGAAAATACATTAAAAAAAACCACCCAAGTACTTATTGAGTATGGCTATAGACACAAGACTGGACTAACTAGACATACAGATCAATGCCAGCAACCTAGGGCAATTCCAGACCAGTTATCACGAATTCATCAAACAATTCACTGATGTAAATAAACTTAAATAACAGCTATAAAACAAGAACAATAAGAACAATAGTAAAAGAGATGACAAAGTCTTGGTATTTGCATGTCCATGTCTAACACAGAGCTAGTTCAGATAGTTATACTAAGATAGTACAATGACACACTGCCCACAGGTGAGACAGACCTTGGTTATAACTTCCAGGGTTTGATTTTTAGCATAATTTGATCCATTCAGCTATCATCTAATCATCCCATCACCAAGCCCATCAGTCAACCATCCATCAACTTCATCCACAGAAGACTTCAAAGTGGCTAAGTTACTTATATTCTCTCTCAGTCTATCTGTAAAGGGAGATAATAATGACTTTATTACATTATTCAATTGGTTTATAAAATTCCATCCTCTACTCGCCAACCCAGCTATCCATATAACACACACACACACACACACACACACACACAGTCTAATCATGAATGTACATGTCTTATCCCCCAACTTGCACATACAATTCCCAGGGGCAAGAGTGTATACACTGGACTGGCTGCTTTCTAGCCTGGGATTGTAAACAATGTTAGCAAGATTTCTTGGCTTGATTTGACACATATTAAGATAGCTATCACTATATCTGCATCTCTCTCTCTCCCTCTCTCTCTCTCTCTCTCTCTCTCTCTCTCTCTCTCATTTTGAGGATTTGGCCAATGTATCCAGGTGTCTTAGGAGAATCAGCCATCAGCTGTAGGGTGCATGATCCTTGGAAGACTGGGGAGGAAGATATTTCAACTCTTCTCAAGGACCCGCTGACATTTCTATTTCATTGGCTCAGTGCATTTGGCCAGTTCTGCTGAAGTATGAATAATTCTCTAACCCTCCCCATCTCCATGTCAGCCCTGGCGGAGCTGCCAGTGAGGGTAAACCTGAAAGGCAGCAGGAAATGCTGCTCCTCCCCAGGGCACTCTGAGCGACACAGATTGCCGGGCAGGACAAAGGCCATGCCCGTGGCACCTCCAGATGGTGAGGCCCTTGGCCTGTTCCCACCGCCCCTGCGAACGGGCTGCACCAGCTCTTTTTACCTGCAAAGGGGGACATGTGCAGGGCAGGTGTGTCTTTTCTCCTTGGCTTCTTCTGTTCCAGGTCAGTGTTCTGAAGAGTTGGACTCGTTTTGTCCTTTGGGTGGCTCTCTTGGACTTCGTATCTTGTAATTAAATGTTCTGAAAATACACCTGCATAGTGAGGGAAACAGGGAGAAACAAGGTCAAACACATGCATCCTTAGAGCCCCGGTCTGTACCTCCATCTTTGCACATATACTTGGAGATGGCTGTGCCTATATCTTTCAAACTTATTGTAATAAAAGCACTTTCTTTCTGAGAATTAGTATCTATTGAGGTGACACCAGAGAACATTTTCTATGAGGAGGGTTTTCTATGCCTGATTTGAATGTAATATTACTGCCACCATCACACACCTGAAGAAAGTGAAGTAAGGGAACATGCCCCCAGTAATGCAGCCCATAGGTGTCCGAGCCAGGCGCAGAGCCCAAGTTCACCTGTCTCCTCCATCAGAGAGATGGGTTATTCACTGTACTGCAAGCCACGTGCTCCGTGCTTCAATGACTGACTTAGTTCTCTACCTCCACCCACCTGCCTTCTCACCTCTCTTCATGGGAAAGTTTTCTCCATCATTTAGAAACTCTCAGAAAACAGCCTCCTCTATAACCTTCTCACAGTCACTGCCCAGGCTGAGCTCCCGGGTCCTCATGGAAGGACCTCCAGTGTGACATTCCTTCTTACTTCAGAGTTCAGCTATTTCTGTGCTTCTGATATTTCCTTCTTCCTTCCTTCCTTCCTTCCTTCCTTCCTTCCTTCCTTCCTTCCTTACATTCCTTCCTTCCGTCTTTCCTTCCGTGCCTTCCCGTCCTTCCTTCTCGTCCCTCCCTCCCTCCCTTTTTTCCTCCCTCCCCTCTTCCGTCCCTCCCTTCCTTCCTCCCACTTTTCCTCCCTCTCCTTCCCTCCCTCCCTTCCTTCCTCCCCTCTTTCCCTCCTTCTTTTCCTCCCTCCCTCCTTCCTTCTTTCCTTCTTTTAAGATTAAGTTTGGGGGGGGGGGTAACATTGGTCCTTCCCAGACCACTCTGTGTTCTATTAGCTTTGTATCCCTGTGAATGGGCTGTAACTAGAGAGGACCTTAAATAAGTGGCCTGAGGGA